GAAATGTTTTGGCTTTCTACTTTTCCATCTTTATTCAAAAAACTATGGGAATCTTTTATAGAAAGGAACGAAGAAAAAATAATTCAAATCGAATCGAAAGCAAAACATAAATTTTGAGGATGTAATAACTAGCATATTCTAAAGCTAAAAAAAAAATTTCGAGAATGTTTTAAGAGGAGCTACTGTTTTGAGATGGATATAATGAATTTCTTTTTGTTGCAGTTTTAGACCCACCATCACCAAAGAGCGAAGGAGAGGTCAAATCATATATTTCCTGCCTGCGAACTATAGATAATCAAAGGGTGCTAACGAGTATGTCGCAAAAGTTAGAACCGAGGAGGTCTTAGTGGCACTATTTAATGTCCACCAGGGTAATGACCTACCTTGGATGGCGTTGCTGGCTGATCTGTCCGTGTCCATTTTCATACCCCTTCTTCAAACCACAGCCCGCCTACGTTTAAAGACAATTGAGGAGTGTGGGGTAAATTTTTGGTATTGAGGTTGTTTATTGAAAATTATTGGTTTACTCATGTATTCTTCTTCGTTGATCTAAATTCTGAAGTCAATGCTTAATAGTTGCAACTATTTACTTTTCACACTGGTTTTTGGTTGGTGAAACGCACCTCGGGAAGAGTATTGCATTTCGGGTGATTGGGAAAAGTGCTTGTTTTGGAGCTAAATCATTCAAATAAAGTTTCCAATAGCGGGGGATATTGTTCAAATTCTTTAACAGGACTCCAAACTTTGAATTTGTTATACAGCTAGATTTCAAGAAGGTTTTATTGTTTCTCCCAATTAGAAATCAAGTTAGCAATGTAAACTGTAATTGGGAGCAGTTTTGGCGCTCTTGAAAGGGTATTATTGATCGATTTCATTGACGGGTTGGAAATTTGCATGACAAACGACATTGCTATACCAAGTTTCATTTCTCCTTGCAGAAGTACTGAACCCCCTAATGGCAAATTTGTACGAGTTTCAATTTCACAAATCGTCAAAATGCAATACTATTCGTTCTTGTAAATTACTTTCCAAGTAAAATTGAAAGTTCTGGTACCAAAATGCTGGTACGAAAAGTGTTTTGTGGAATGATTTCGTTTCCTAGGCCATATTTTGAGGTATTTCTATAGCATATAACCAGGTCTCACTCGATACTAATATAACTCTTTTTGGAGATTTCATTACTCTGACAAGTATTCAAGGTTGGTACGGCTTGTCCGTTTGCGCACTAATAATGTAAATTTTTTATATAGTGGCTTAATAATTTCTGAAGGACTTCATCAGTAAGTTAACACTTAGAAGTTACATATTTTTCTACATTTTCTCTATTAATCGAGCAATCATTCAAGTTATAAAGTTATTTGAACTGCAGGCAATAAAAATATTTTTTAGATAAATATGTTACCAAGTTCATTAAAACCCCTTTTGTTGTTCATAAATCGCATTTGGTTGGATACTTCGATTCAGATTTGGAAATTATTTTCGTTACTCACATTTTATATAACCATACTTACATCCTTGTGTAACAATTTTTTCGTTCTGATATGTAATTTCTCTCGTAAATAATAGGGATATCAATATTCAAATTTTATTTTGACTTTTTCATTGATGTTGATGGTTTATTTCGTAATTCCATAAAACGATGGTGAAGATTTCCTCACCCTAATATAAGCTGGTGATATAAAAAATCAAATTTTTGAAAGAAGTTGTCATTCGTAATTTTACCAACTTTGGTCTGCATAAAAATAGTTTAAACTTCAATCTCAGATTCATAAGCAGCGGGCGAAATTACACTAGTTTTACCGTTTTTTCAACAAAGCGAATCTCGATACAATACTATCAAAATGAATAGCTCCATTTCATAGGTACAAAAGAATTGAATTTTAAACTGTTTATTTCTGACAAAAATGAAAAGTAACCATTGATTTCTCAACTTCTGAACAGAGACTGATTTAGAACTGCTCTAAAAAACTACAACTTGTTTTCCTATGCCAGTCTTCTGACCATCAGTGACGTTAATAGTTTGTAATTTGATAAGGAACCGTAGTTTTTAGTAAAAATTTCACAAAAACTTAAAACATATTTCAGTCCAAAATGAGATTTAATTGGAAAGATGGCTACAAAAAATCAACTTCGATACGTTAACTGACCTTTCTGTTCCAATAATCTGCAGTTTCTTCACTATTACCAACACTGGACCCAATTTTTTTGAATTTCTAATTTATTTATTTATACAGTATTTACAATATAGGTAGGTATTGATTGAAATTGAAATCTTCTAAAAGTATTTTTTTCACCTGCAGCTTAACACTTCCTAATCTTCCTTCTTGTTGAGGGTTCGTGAAATGTGGTAGGTACACTACTTTCTGCACTATTTTTTTCAATATATGTAGGATCCTCAACATATAAGGTAGTTTTCACAAGATTTCTCATAAAATATTGAGCAAAACCGCTAGGTTTTGAAAGTGCTTTTCTTTACACTCCCAATTGGTAGATTCCCAGTCACTATTGCTCTAAACCTCTATATTTTTTGTCGACACATCTTGTCGATCCAATGCATCCAGTGCTTGCTACACTGTGAGATGATTTCAAAGAGATACGCTTATGCTCAGAATACTTACCTACTCTTCCGGGTCCATTTCGAAAAATAAATATGCTCCTGACATCAATTTATTTGTCAGAATGTGCTTCGAAAATAAAAGTCGAAGTGAGTCGTTGAATATTAAATGTTTATACATCTCAATTTCACAATCGGATTGAAACTATGCTTAAAATTGGAATGAATCAAAAATTGAATGAAATAATACGTGAATAATTACAAGCTGAGCATCTGTCAAGGTACTAATAAACCTAAAATATCAATATCATTTTACTGTATCCATCAGTTTCTCATTACTTTCACTCATTTGATAATTTATGAATTTTATGTTTTCTTTAATTTCAATATTTGAGGCTTTTTTTCAATTATATACGGTAGTTATTCCTAATTAAAATCTGAAAACTGTTATGGTACTCTGTCCACATCTAAAAAGTTCTATACCTTAAAGTTTTTTGTCCATTTTCAGTACTTGCAATGTACTGAACAATTTCTATGCATGCATTATCACTTGAATTTTATTTAAAACCAAATGTATTAGTTGCGTTCAATAATATTCTTCAATCTCTGAAAAACTGTTAATGAGGGGTTTGTCACACCTGAAGCCTAATAAGTAAATATCCAAAATTAATCAACTACTCTCTACTTCGCAATTCAAGTACCTCTTAGAAAAGTAATTTTCATCAAAGAAAAATCAGATTCTCAAATACTGATGAAACTGAAGTAGGTAAATAATTCTACTGAAAGTGATTAATAAATTCTTTATTTGAAACTCTGACAAATGAAATAAATTACCAATAAGGAAAAAACAATTTTTCAAATCGGTAAGTGGATAAAAACACAATCGTTCGATCATTTCAATACTCTGAATTCTGTTCACACCGAATTTTCAATTTTTTATCTATAGTATAGCTAGTTCTTTTCGAAAACTAATTGGGTATCATAGTAAGACCGAAGACCGACAATCTAAGGGTGCTAAATCGTTCTTAATATGAATCACTCATACTTGATACTCCAATATGAACAGTCATTGCTACTTGTGCGAAATGTATACCAGTTGAAATCACCAACTTAGTAATATTAGTGATGACAGTATCAAATTCAAATATCCTGTACGATATTGTTCATGTGTATTAACTAGACAGGAAGATTTTTGTGTCTTTAAGAAAATATGTTGAGAACAATCCTTGGAGTACTAGACTTAAAGAAACTTTCACAAGCTTTAACTTAAATTATATCATAAGAGGAATTACAGTTTTTGTAATAAACCCTATCAATATTTGTAGTGAGACTTTTTACCTTCAAATCCATGCAAGCTTTAATAATTATGAAGGTTTTCTTTCTGAACTTTGTTTCATACTTATCAACATTCAGACGGCATTTTTTAAATAAAAAAGCAATAAAAGTATATTCATAAGTAGGTCACAATGTATTCGATATTGCACCTTTTTATATTCTATATGTCAAAATATTCTTAAGTTGTTTGCGAAAATAATAATCACCTATTAGTAAATTAAGAAATATGCTTGTTTGAATAATGAAATATTCACAGTATGTTCGATTGTGATTAGGCTGAGATATATGCAGGTGATCCTAAAAATTATACATCACTTTAGGTGTTCCTCTACTTCAACTAATGCTTTATTAAACTTTCAAACTTGAGAGTTGCAAAAGTAGCTTTCTAATTCAAAATTTTTTTAGGGGTTCAGTCAGCATATTTGATTTTTAGTTGTTGACAGTTGGCCAAGGTGCATGAAATCAGGTTAGTTATTATTTTCGCAATCGGCTTTGACTGAATGACATGGGAGATGTGTAAAAATAGTCTGATATGAAAATTTTCAATTTTTATAATAGTTCAAAATGTCCTTACTTCAAAAAAGTATTATTGAATTCTGTCTCATTAAAGGATCTCTTTCGTATATGTGAATTTATATGAGTAGATCTTATATATTTCCGTAGTGAGATACATGTTGCGACAATCACATTAATCTTTATCTTCCTTCATATATAGATATATAAGAATCAATTCTGAATAATTTTTTAAAATTAAATTTTTCAGATATTTATTTTGATATTTCATCAATTACTGTTCAATAAATGTGATGTATATTTGCTGTGTTTGTATAGTTATTTATTTAATTTATGTTTAATTTTAAATTGAGATTATATCGAGCCAATGAGGAAGGCATTATGGTTATGGATGGCATTTTTTTGTGAAAAACCATTCCTATTCTTATACAACATTGACGAAAATAAAATTTTATTTTTAGTTACGACTCTTCGGCTGCTCAACACCCGAGTTTTGATAAAGTAGATTGTCATTTCATATACTCCATCCTGTCGGTATATCGTTGAATTAATTACTTAAAAACATTTTTTTATATTTTGAACAATAATCAATAAAAAATTATGTAACAAGAAAGTTCACCAGATTCGTTGTTATTCTATTCTTTCTTTTTTAACTATTTGAAATATATAAGTGAGTATAGTCTTTCATTCCTTTCTTATTCTTTTGTCAATATATCAAATTTTGTTGCCACAGAAATTTGCAAATCATGGAAATAAACCGTTTTTCCAAGGCAAAAGAGAATGGAGAAAAAAGGAAACTGTGTTAAAAATATATCTTTGTAACATCAGAAAGATTGACTACTGATTCGTCTAAAAATATTTCTTGTGTTTCTGGTTAGGGTTTTTGTCTAATATGATTTTATGGAAATGAAATCGCTTTTTCTCAACGGTATTTCATTAGGTATTCTTAAAATGTGTGCCCCGTTATTGATACGGATGATCCGCAAATTGTTCAACTTTTCAAACAAGCAAGGAAGACAGAATTGCAGTTCTATACGGATTTTCTCGAGTGATGGATTCAGAATAAACATCCTGAGTGTTGGGGGATATAAAACGATCATCAATGTGGTTTACATCATCAGACATCTTCTGATCTACACCGTGCAAAGATAAGAAAATATGTGTCAGCCAGGGTTCCATCCTTGAATTGTTCCTGTTTCAGCTTCACATCATAACCTGTCCAATGCACAACTTTGCAAATGTTATTAAGTGAACCTCGATACTCTCCCATGGAATAATAATATATTTTTACTCATTTGGAGCTACTTGACTTGTCCATTTCTTCCAAGTTACCGATTCTATTAATATTGTTACTTGCACAATTTTTTACCCAAAACTTCTCACACTCAAGTGCATGTGCTTTGAAATTCTCTAGTACATTCCCATACAAATATCTCAAGTTGAGATTTACAATTTTCAGGTGGAGTATATGCGACAAAAATTAGATTTCACCTGCATTTGTGTTGACCGAATAATAAACAAGTAACTATTAAACTCTGTCACACTCAGGGGATAGGTGCAAGTCAATGTAGTAAAAGACAACCATATTTAGTAAGATTTTTTGTATATGTACAACAGAAAGTGAATTTCTATTTTGACCAACATAGATTTATGTAAAGAAAAAATATGTGATTGTGATATCAATGTTAGTTATTAGTTACCTACCTAGAGATATCCAGCATACATGTCATTCCGTTTCGATTAGTGTTAGTACCTTTTATTGATTTCTAATGGTTTTACCATGTCAAACATTGGCAGAAATCGTAAGGAAAACACTCCAATGCATGTCGTGTCGTCTGATCTCGACTAGATTTACCTTTTTACTGTCTAATAATTATTGTACATATATTGAACAATGAATACATTTTTATGATATACATATATACTAACACAATGTAATAATGAAATAAACAATTCATAAATAAAATGTGTTTTGGTTTCCTGGGCCCAACTCGACAAGTAGATATGAAAATGTAGTCCCTGTATTTATATTCATACATATGTTTAGTAAGTAGAACAAATACAGGGTATTGTTGATAAATGATACAGAAGAATGAGCAAATTGGCATTATCATACTTCCTCAAAAATACACTTACGTTCAATTATCATATAGGAATGATATTTTATATATACTACATTTAATCTTCTTACATGATATGTCTATGATAGTTATATGACAAATGAAAGATATATGAATGATATTCATATATTCAAAATGCAATCAAAGAATCGTCAAAATATATTGAGAAAAACTTCAAAGTAACCATTGTCAGTCTTCCTATATGTTGTATCTATACATAATTATATGAATCCTGTAAAAATGTAACATTAATGATAACATATGATATATAGATCATTACATATTCCTAAGATTCTAATTTGTAAGGTTATATATATTTCGAATTGGTGTA